AGTTACCAGGATTAGACGCTGTTTTACTGGCCATACGGTCCACTATCCCTTTATCCTTGTAATAGGATAATGTTAGAATTTCTTGCCTCCTACTTTATTTATTTCCAACCGTAAAATAACGCGAGGTCTTTGCTCCGAGTAATACAATACCTCGGACTTGGCAACTGATTGGTATTGAAAATCGGTGAAATTGGAAAACGAATAATACTTCGGTTCACTGTGAAATCTAAATCGAAAGCATTTGCTTAACAACCAGTTTTACTATAACGAAGCAGTGAAGTTTCTTCTGTTTTCCAAAATTATTTTAATTCATATATCTACGTAATATTTAGAATATTAGTGAATTAGACGTAAAACTGAAATATTAAATAATGTACCTAATAAGGTAATTTTATGTAATTCTTTCATGGACTTGTGGCGACACAAGTGGATGACGTCACAAAAATTCACATGTAAACTTTACATGTGAATTAACATGGATAGAAAATCCTAATGAACAAATGTTGGGCAGAAAGCCTGCCTTGCCTGGTCGGAGGATCCTCTTTTTCCGATCTTAGGGAACAATATTCTCTGACACCCAAAGACTAATTAGGGCAAAGAGTTTTTAGAAGCGGAATGGTAACGTTTTTTGATTCGGTTTTATTGTATAACTGTTGAAATTACTTAAACATTTACTTTACAAAGGCACCTAAAAGCACTCTAATATACCTTTTGCCGACAGTAAGTTATATAAGCCCACTTGAAAGGGATTTTAACGACACTCCCTAAAACCATTTTTGGAAGTGTGCTCTTTATGATCAAAGATTCAACGGCACGCGCTTGTTTGATCTACAATTTTTTCTATCCTCTTTTCGTATTTGTTCCCACCTTTGTCAACGAAACTTCTTTATTTGCATTTAAGCTTCTAAATAAATAAAAGAAATCTCTAGAAAAGTTTTTCGTGAAACAGTCATGTGTATTTATAGTAAAGTAAATCTTATAATTTCCGAAAATCTCCGTTCTTCGTCTACGTCTCACGTTTCGTTTGAGAAAAATGAAAATGTACATATCTTATGAACCGCTCGCATATCACGTTCGCTACATTATTTCTTAGATATTCTTCAAATAGAACTTCTAAAGCTTTTTCCACTAATATTCTAGCAGTACCTAAGTTTCAATGCGTGAATGAAATACACTTTTATTGGTTTTAACATACCACTTGAATTAATAAGGAGTTTTCTGGAAAAAAGTTTTACAAATCCACTTTGATTTTCTTTGATAAAAGTATTCATATAATATCCGTGTCTCGTATAACAATATTCCAAGCATTATTTACGTGAGTTTTTTATCTAAGAAGTATCAAACTATAGACTTGTTACGTTATTCCTGGTAAAACAAAATAAAATGGTAAAAATATTACAACTATCCATAATTTAGACACAAGCGAAATTGTTTCCAGAAAATGTAACGTTTCTGTATTAGATTTTCATGTGTTATAAATGATTAATCAGCTTTGTATATTTTATTTAAATTAATCTGTCAGATAAAGTAAGTTTTGTAGATATTTTTGATGCAATTATAATAATATGATATATTTAGCAGCGCGAGATTAGCCGCTTTGCGGGTCGCGGAATGCTACTCATGAATATGAACCTCTAGCATGGCTTGAACCTAGTCGAGTTCCTCGTCAAATAATTACGTGAGTAAGCCAAAAAACATAATATTTAACACAAATAGTTGCTCTGTGCGGGATTTGAATCCAATACCCGGTGTGCGGCAGCCAGTTGACCAGCCACAATACCAAACGTGCAGTCAGAAAATCAAACAATTGAAACTAAGTTATGTAAGCCTACAAATATTGTAGATCTGAACATAATATTCAAAGATCGAATCAATCTAAAATGTATTCATCAATTCAAATGCCATCAAGCACTAATTTATTTTTCATACTGATATCAAGAAAGAATACAAAAAAGATTTTATACAGTCAGAAACGTCCTTGTTCTTCAGTACCTAAGTAATTCGATAACTCAATGAAAGTTGATGTTACAGGCTATCTCCAAGTTTCAAGTCGGGAATTTTGTCACAAGTCTCGAGACTTGGGACTGATTGCTTGAGTATTCACTATATGAGAATTGTAAATGAGTTTACTCCTTTATATTATATATCTCGGCCGTGTGATGCATACATTATAACTTTATTCTTTGTTATTTATCAACTCAAACATTCATATTTACTTCTACTTCTTGTGACATTTGATGATTTGTCTTTCATAAGGGTTAATGCTTCTGTTCCATACTTTATTTTATTTTATTGTTCTTTTATTTGAAGCAACTGTGGCCCATAGGAAATATAATACACAAATAAATAAAAATACAATACAAAACTGAAGTGGTTACCAAAAATGAATAGGTACATCAATAAACTAATAGATATACAATCATATAAGAACATAACAATACATCACGCCTCTTTATCCCCGAAGGGGTAGGCAGAGGAGAGATTGTTATTAAAAACCCAGGAATACTTTCCCCGACCCGAAAATCGAACCCGAGGCCCTTTGCCCGGCAGTCGCACTTGCAACCACTTGGCCAACGAGGCAGTCAATACTTTACTTTCGCTTCTTAAATAATAACTTATGTTATACAAAACTATATGAATATTAAATTTTGCTAGTATTATTCTAAGAAACTTGCGAGGTATCTCGTAAAGAAGTTTGAACAGCTACACTTAACACAATCTCAACACTAAAACTGACTTTGATGAGAAGAGCGATTGCTCATAAAGATACCATGATAGTGCAGTAAAGAATTCTCATCACAGTTGGAGAAGATGAGAGCGTAAAGTCAAAAATATATGTATAAAGGCGACAACTAAATAGTGAAAAAATATAATAAGAGTTAAATGCTACTGTACAATGTAACACCCACTTTTCACTATTTATGTTATGACTCCCATGTAATAAGGGGTGAGTCTATTGCTATATACCGCGGGTGCCATTCCAGACTCCGTGCTACCACTGTTTTTTTTTTAAAGAACCCAGTAGTGCTGTAGTACTCTGCCTACCTCTTCGGGGATAAAAGACGTGATGTTTTGTTATGTTATGTCTGAAGAAGATTTTTTGACACTATCAGGCATGAAGTATATGCCATATTATTATAGCATGTTGGAAATAAAACAGACACAAACACGCTACCTATCTATTTTTTCAACGCACACCATCTAGAAAACTAACATGAAACGTACCGAAAGCCAATCACAACACGCTACCTTCCACATTTAAGCCGAGAAACGTAAACTATTTCAAAACACGCTTAGGCTACAACTAGCCACCGAAGTCCATTAACCCTTATATTGACGAAAGCGCCCCCAGACCTCGCAATAACTGAACTATCTAAACACTGACCACAACTTGTGGCTGCACCTCCTCCGGCTAGTAGAGTGCCTACTTAATATCTCATACACCTCGCAGAATCTCATGATATAAAATGAAAATTGCTCTGGTACAATTTTATAAGCCGACTACAGCCTCCGCCGTAAACCGCAACCCTGAAACTTTAGCCGTAGCTAACGGAAGCATTTCTTATTCACAAACACGCACGAACCAATTAACTTGATTTAAATTATTTAGGAACAAATCTGAGGTAATCTAAGTTGGTTAACTATTTTGTGATATAACTTCATTATCATGTCTGCTTCCCTTGGGAGTGGGCAGTAGTGTTATACCCACATGTATTTAATTCAATTATTAAGACAATACTGTTGCGTGGGCTTTGCTAGACTTGTGGTTTGTGGTTATGTGGAAACGAGGTACATGTATTTCTCTTAAGGACTTTAATGTAGCATTCGTACTAAACAAAAATAAACGTGTTTTCTCTCTCCATTATCTAATTAAACTTTGCTCTACCCAAGGGACTTTTATCAGCAATTTCTGTTTTTAGTTGCAAATCTCTTGACAGAATAATTTTCGTTGAACCTTAATTACGTTGCTTCCTATATTTTTGATAGCGTAACGCGAATTTAATGTCGAATTTCCTTCGTAAAGCAAATGTTACAATTGGAAATCACTTTGACACTAACTACCTCTGATAAGTACAATGGAAGCCGATTCAAAGCCATTCCTAACCGATTTCCTCAGCCTCATAAGCAATACCGTGAAATCTGTCCAATAAATTGTGGCAAACCCAATAACCTCACCACATTTGGGTAACTTACGCATTAAGATTCTAAATGGGTCTTCAAAAAGTCCATTTAGATTTAATAGGAAAGTTGGAATGGGGAACTAGTGTTTAACTTACAAGTCTATATCGTTTCAGATACGGATATAAAGTAATATTTATTGTAAAGTAATAGTTACTGAAAGTAGCTATCCACCGAATGGAACATTTCCTAAGTATCTCTTTCAAAGGCTCCCAGAAAGAGCACTGCAGTCAGTAATCTGTACTTTATGTTACGCGATATAACTCACAATTTACAAAGACTAATAATAATATCTTTTCCACTGTTTTACTTACAAAAATCCATTTTGGGATCTGTACAGCGTGTCAACCCAATTTAGTTTGGCATCAGTATGTTACATGGACCGACAGACATCTAACCTAATTTATTATAGGTAATTTACTGGCACATAATCCGCTATTGCTAACGTTATTTACTGGACTTCTTTATTCGTCAGACTATTGATTGATTCTGACTATTAATGACCTTAAATCAAATTCTACATTAGAAGTTTGCCGTAGTTTGCTAAGCTTGATAGTCAGGTGAAAATCACAGTTTGAAAATTCGTAGAGCGCTGCTGCTTGTTCTGTTAAATATTTATAATCCTTTAGTCGGCTCAGTAGTCGGAAAAGTAGGGATCCAGATAGTGTTTTACTAAAGTAAAACATTTTTGACGTTAAAACGTCAAAAAGTATGGCTAATAACCAAAACAAACGACTAGAAAAATAGTTTTCATAATATTCATTTGTATTCTTGCAGGTAAACGGCGAGCGTAATGCGCCTACGCCTGTGATGTCTCTAATATGCAGTGGGACAGCCTCTACTTCGTGTTTCTAGCGTTATGCTGCATTCATACTGCATCTGGTAAGTACCTTTGACTCAAACTATAAATACCTTCGTCTGTCTAGTTAGCACTAATGCTTTTCACAATAAAAATAAATAAGTAACATAAAATATAAAAAATAATGTAAAAAAAATAAATACACTTAGTGTCAAGCGCATAGCATGGATCGTGTTTGGACAGGCCTAAAGCACAGTCATTATAATATCAATCAATAAATTAAAAGCTTATTAAATAAATGCACATAGCATCTTAAAGCATATATAGGAGATAAATAAATAAAATAAAAATAAATAAGAGTTCTAGAATGCAAGCTAGCATGTTCTTGCACTATTGCCGACAAATAACACTACAATATACATCAGCTGTACACTTGTACAGTACAACACTTTTATCCTCTTTCTCATGACCTTCGAACGCCTTCGCTAGGTAGAATGACAAAATTTTACAAGGATCAAGCGCTCAATGAGGGTGATTCTAAAATCTCGGTTAGAGACCATTTTCACTAATTTCTTTATTGTTAGGTATAGGTAATTTAGTTTAATATAATATTTTAAAGATATCTGTGACGTCTCTAAAATCAAACAGACTGTAGATGTCTTGTTATGTATGAGGCTTAATAAGTTAATACGTAATCAAGTTCGATGTTAACTTCCGAAAAATGTTATAATTATGTTAGGAAAAACCTCAATAAACTAAAACTGCACAAAATATCTTTTTCTTTGTGTCTTAACAATAAATTGACAATTATTTGAATCATCGCATTAACGACAAATTGATGTGTTGTGACTTGTGAATGCAACCGCAAATCTAAACCTACTAGTTGGCACCATTTTAAAGGAATGAAAAGCCAATCACGAAGGACTGTCATCACAAATCCCGATTACCTATTCACGACTATCGCAGATACTGCATCAATACTTTATTGATACCGTCCGCTAGATAGCAATAACCGTATGAACTTTTGAATATTTAAAAACATTCCAAAATTTTATGGACACAGTATTACATATCTATTTCTCGATGTAGACACGTGGCCAAATATTTACGTGGTTTCAGAAATAAATGTAGTGCTAGTCCGGAAATTAAATGTCTTACTGAAGCAACTGCTTGTCCAAATTGAAAGTAACATATAGAATTCAATAAGTTAAATAAATATTTTGAATGTTTTGGTTAATTGAGTGCCAGTTTTTCTGGATTGAGTAACACGTATAATGGATTCTTTTTGGGCATTTTATATCGACATTAGTAGAGGTATAGACCTAGACTAAATTTGTATGTCATCTTTGGTAAACCATGTATGTATAAGCAAAAAGGATGACATTTATTGTAACGAGCAATACTCGAATAAAACTCAATACTTTTAAATCGAGTTAATATTTAACTTTATGTAATATTTATTTAAGTTAATATTTCAAAATCCTTTAAACCATCTTTAATCTACTAAAACTTTAACATAGTTTTAAGACAAATTGAATTTTGTAAGCGCTGATTCTACGAAAACTCATCTTAGCCATTAAAATTTTACAATTTTATATGAAAAAAATATTTAAAATGATTTACAATAATCGCATCAGATGTTAAACAGAATTAACAACTCATTTTAAAACTATACATCGAAATTATTATTCAACTATATTTTCTGAGACCAATTCTGAGAACCGACATTGAATATTGGTTTTTAATGTGCATTCATAAAGTTCATATTTATTATACACGGTTAGGTGTATCCACTGGTTATGTGAAGTTTATAATGAACTCTGAAAACTTCTTAATTAAACACACAGGTATTCAGAACTTGTCGAACAAAGTTTTAAAGTAGAAGTTTGTAGAATAAATATAATTAAGGTAATTAATTATTTATAATGCAATGATTATATAAACGTTATCTGTAATAAGTACATTTATAATCAATTATATAGGTTGTAAACGGTCTAGAGTGAAAAACGCCGACAAATTATGGTATAAAACAAGTTATCTATATATATAAAAATATCACATAACTCGAGAACGGCTATACCGAGTTGGCTGATTTTTTTTTGTTGTGTTTAGTATTATCAGGAGAAGGTTCTTATGACAGAAAAAAGTCCTGAAAATCCTACCGGAACGAGAGAAAACGGGATTGCGCGTATAAAGTCGCGGGCAGAAGCTAGTATTTTCATAAAAGTAAGGAATTGAATGGTTCTTTTATGTAATAATAGTCGTATCAACTGCTCAAGGCTGATGTTGCATAAATAACAAAGACGATTAAAATTGTAAAAACAATTTCTTTTTGTCAGCATTTTGGGAGGGTTCCGCGTTACACCCTTTATATGAAACAAAGTAAACCAACATAATTATGTTGGTTGGCCACATAAGTTACAGACATGTTAAAGATACCAAGGTTAATACTGACTTAAAAAACAAGTCTGTACGGGTAGATAAATGAGTATGGGTCGATATCGATCGAATCACTTATAAAGAAACAGGATCCGAATGTGCCAACTGGCACCTGTTTCTTCATAAGTGTAACAGTAAGAGTCCTAAAAAGCAATTACAGTTTACTCTTAACAGCATAGTGCATTGCAATATAGTAAAAGCTAAAATACTCTTGACAAATTGAAAGGAAAAAAGAAAAAGGATTTATTTGAGTCGGCACACAAATACAAAGATTACAAATAATTAAAAATACAATAAAAACCTTAAAAGAGTAAAGAAAATAACAAAAAAACATTACAATAATAATAATTCCAATGAAATATTAATAAAAAAAATATATTAAAAATATTAAATCAGCTCGATTTTGAGATTGACTCATGACAGCACAATTTAAACCTTAGTGTGTTTTGGTTGCTATTTTACATGGATAATCCTGTACTCATTGTAAATACGATAAAAAAAGTTACAATTTTGCAAAAGAACTAAAACCTAAAAGATTCGAAAGGTAATCTATAGACTAGGAAGTCAACGCTGTTTCCTACCTTCTCTGCACTCTGGAAAACAAAACAGCCAGTTCTATTTGTGTCCTAACAGCTTGACAGGCGTTTGATAAAAGGGTACAAGACGCATTGTTAATGGCTTATGAAGGTCAGATAGGCGCCCTACGTAAATATTATTATACTTTATGTATACTCACTACTAAAATGAATACAAGTAATAGGCAACGTACATCATTATGTATAATGTCAAGTCAACGAAATAATACGAACAAGATAATATTATTAAACAATATTATTTTCTGGTTTCACATAAACTGCTGCATTTCTCTGCATTACCTAATGGTTGAATATCAGAGAATACCTTAAGGCAGGCCGCCATTCATTGTAATTTTGTGTGAAGAAGATACAAAGAAATAAATAAACAGCACTGACTAATAATATTTTGGTGTTTGTGGTATTTACTACTAATATAATGATTGTTTAACTTCATTACCAAATTTACTTCATTAAATAATATTTGAGTGTAGATAGTAAGTACCTACACAATTCATAGAAATTAAATATACAATACTATATAGTAAACAGTATATAATGTATTAACGTTACTCTTTAATATTTTCAGTTTCTGTTGAATGTCATTCAAAGTTTTGGTTGCAAAAAATGGTAGATAAAAGGTTTTGTAAACGAACCGTTTTTATTCAAAACGTTTTTTCGAATATCGTTTCTATAGTGTTTGAATTTTTTTTACGAAATTTAACAAATCGGAAAGTCTTGACAGGAAACTTAGAAGAGCCTAAATCATTTAAAAAAAACTTTAGGTAAAGTCTAGGAAAACATTTTGCCTTAATTTTTTTTTACTTAAAATTAAACAAATTCAATTTTTTTAAACTCAATTATACAGTTTTACTGCCTGAACTAGAATGTAGTTTTAAGTAAAGTCTGGACATTATTCAAAAAATATGAAAAAGATGTTCAATTACTAAAGGTATACAATGGGAATAAAGTAATCTCAGTTTCATTAGAAGATATTAATGGAAGTATCAAGGTATAATTAAAGTCTAAAAATCCAAACAAAGAAAACAAAAAAGTAAAGGAAATGTTAGTATTAAAGCAAGAAATTGATCTGTGCAGAACCGTTGCGCTTTCCTGAAGATTATCGAACAAATGTTGTTCGAAGACGTCGAAGCGATGAGAAGGACAATCTCGCCTTGTCCAGGGAGATATTCAAAAATATCACGAAGCAACTACGCGAAAATATCAAGCGTGAAGGAGCGACTGACAGAAACGATCATTTGTTACAGAGTGAGTATTGATTTTCTCGTCCACAGTCTACAGTACGTCTTGGACGTCCGTGGTCTCATTTACATAAAGAAATATGAATTCGCTTATTCAAAAGATTTAAGCTGTTTGAACATTATCAGATTTTAAACAATTTCTTTTACGACGGACGCCGACGTTGACAACAATCTTATCGGAATTGAAATTCAAATAGCGTTACTTCCTGATTTAGATGAGATTAAGAAAATTACTTTTTGCTTAACTAATTTTGTTTCAATTAATTTAAATTCTTAAATAAGGTTTTTAATTAAAGTTACCGGTAACTTTACATTTAATGTATTTATCGTTAATATATTATTCAAATGTAATACGGTAAGTTAGGCGTAGCCTACCTTTTTCGGCTTGGTATTTATGTTCCCCAAGGGTGTGTATATGACCTTCCTTATCTTATGGGAAGATATCCTGTTACCGTCAAAGTCGCACATAGTATTAAATCAGTTTATTACGAAACTGCACGAAACTAGATTTTTGCAAAGAGTTTCATCCAAACAATAGTCCTAAGACTAATGTAAAACGAGTTACAATATAATTTATTAGAAACCTTTCTAAAAGACTTGGAACTAAGCTAATCTACATTCCTATAGTAACAAATTTTACCACGATCTTTGTCAAAGTAATTTGCATTTCTTGTTTAATCGCTCCCTGAATGGCTATAAACAATTTATTACAAAAGTTGTTATAAGTTACTGGCAATTTTGGGAACATTCTAATAATATTTAATTATTATTTTTACTTACATATTTACACAAAACTGTTTTGAAAACTTAAATATACCTACCAGCTTATAATAACATAGTTTTATGAAAATTGTATTTGCAATTGGCACATTTGTTTTTTACCTGTTTGTTTAGTTATTGGCAACTATTTAATTTAATTTATAACCTAATAAATTATTTTAATACACCACATTCACTGTTTTTGCGCACTAAATCACATTTCAAATATTAATGTAAATATTTACAATATTATGCTAAATTGTGTTAAACAAAATTATTTAGTCTAATACTCAATTGCAAGTCAACTTCTAGTAACACTCAAATGGTACACAGTATGTAGCTCTTTACAGTATAAAGTTGTGTAACATTTGAGTATTGGATTATATAAACTATAAAGTATACTTTTACTTCACATCACAAATGCTTTTACCCAACTGCTTTTGCATGCGAAAGTTTTCTTTATACATCAATCATAAGTTTATACATTACGTGATAGCTGAGTAAAACAATGTTCAACATTTTAAAATATAAATATAGTAGATGGGTGTTAAATATTAAAAACTCAAATTAGTTCTATTATATATAATTTGTTTAACAGACAAGGTAGAAGAGTCTCGTCCCTATGTGCCGTACCAGAGTTACCATGATCATCATCATGAGCACCATTGGGGCCCGTACTTCGAGGAGGAGAAGTACACCCAAGTGACGGCCCATGTTGGGGCGGAGGCCTTGTTGAATTGTAGAGTCGTCATGCTCAAGGACAAAACGGTAAATATTTTATATCAATATTTTGATCCTATTTTGGCTAGTTCTAAACGTGTAATTTGTTAGTTTTTTGAATGATATTTATATCGATATCAATGTAGCTTTGCCTATAATCGATTCTAAAGTCAAGTACAGTATTTAACACACTTTAAAAACACGGTTCAGACACGGCTCTGGCACGGCGTTTTTGTTTTGGAAACAATATAAAAAGGTTGAAAACATACTGTCGATGCGCGGACGGCGTGCTGTTGGTGCGCCGTCGGCGTGCTGTCGGCGCGCGGTCGACGGCCTAACAACTTTTTTATATTGACGTTATGAAATAGGTCATATGACATAAGATGTAATGTTCACATTTAAATGATAAGGTAATAATTGAGTTGGACTTGTAATGGAGCCGTATCGGTTGATTGTACTTTGAACGGGCTTTTTAAATCAGAAATATTTTATCTGTACAATATTTTCTGTTTTATAAACACGCACAACACCTTTCTTGATTGTTTATAAATGTAACACGATTCATACTTTTGATATTTGATCTGAAAATATTAGATAAAATTATTTACATAATTTTTGTTACGTTGAAATGTTACGGCACTCTTCCTAGAATTATATCAATTTCGTTTCATTGAAGCGGAAAGTTGATCTTTTCGTGAATTGCGTAAACGAATGAACATTAAGTATTTCTTATGAAAATTAGTTCTACTAACATTTTTGGGACATTCATTCTTTTAGAAATGTTTGTTTTGTTCAGTATAAAATATATCTAAATAAACAAAATGCGTTTATTATGCTAAATTTTAAAATTATATCTAAGTTAGCAAGGTTACAAATGTACTAAGAAATGCTATGATCAAATTATATCGAATAAAGATCTTTGAAACCCGGTCATTGCCCTCCCATCATTCACGACTTCAAAGTGAATGATTATCCTCATTGCTAAGATCAAGTACTTAAAATTTCGTTTTCAATTCATTTCGAACAGAAAAAGAATTTCTAATTTCAATCTTTATAATTATTTCGGTCTTAGAATTAACTTCTCTAATGAAACGTAAATCAAAAGCTGTGGGATATCTATAATTTATACAAGGGCCTTCGTTAGACGAATACTAAGTGTGACGTAGAAGTAAAATTCAGTGCATTACTGTTTCATATTTAGCTTTAAAAGAACATGATTTGGATCTTGTTTCGAATTCGAAACCAACATTTGTTCAAAAGAAATGCCAAGTACGTAATATACCGTGAACTCTATTTCGTTTTCAACCCGATGTAAAATGGTTCTGTCTTGTTAATACAAATAAATAAAATATTAAAAGCAAAAAAAAATTGGTGAACCATAGTAAAAAGCAAACTTAAAAAGCGCATACGAACACATAGTACATTATCAAAACATTACGCCATGTAATTCTCATCGGGTAAAGGTATGTATTTCTCATCAGGCGACACGTGCGAATAGTGTCTTTAAATTTATGTCTAGTGTGTTCCATGTGCGTAATACAAAGATTTTTTTTAAACTAAATATAGCATCTTTATTTTCTTGATTTTACTTTATATACATATAAATAGTTTTGCCGTGAAATGAAAAAGGAATAGATTTTACGGTGTATATTGCGATGTAGGTAATGCAATAATTCGAATTATAGCCGATATTATGTAATACTTTTGAATGCACAACACGGAATTTAGGACTAACGTATAAATAAATACAAATAATATTCATAAAATACATTTTTTATACTGCTCCTTTTGGTACAGGTGATGTGGTTGAGAAACACAACGGAGTCAGCACAACTCCTCACCGTTGGTCCAGCTTTATACGCCGGCGACAATAGGATAGCAGTAAAGTTCCAATACCCAAACAACTGGAGACTTAGTATGAATCCAGTGAAGTTGACAGACGCTGGTCACTATATGTGCCAAATATCCACACATCCCCCAAGAACGATATTCACAAACCTCACAGTTTTACGTAAGTAAACAAGTAAATTGTTGATTAGTATATTTTCTTTATCTTTTGCAGAAACGTTTAATTAAGCCGTCCTATTGTGAGTATTATTTGAGAGATTGGAAAGCTCTCTTTTATTCTTTACATCACTTTTTCCTCTGCCTCTGTTTTTTGGCACGCCATTTCATTCGTCTTAATCGCTTTTGATATTACCGTTTAAGGTAAGCCCGAGAAAAATTCCCCAAAATATCCTTAATCTCCATTTGCATGTAACAGCACTTAATGACGTCGTTCCATGACTATTTATGTGAATTCAGACAAATTAAAGTATTTATTTCGATTTATTAGCTCACCTTCTCTGCCTACATTTCCCAGTTTTTTTGTCAAAGAGAATGGAACGGTGAGGTCTTAAAAAAGTAGTAAACTTTTTATTAGGCTCTTGAAGTCCTGTTTGTGCTTTTCCTGGAAAATAACCGGGACGTAATTATATTTCCAGTCTCCGTGGAGGAAATAATTCATACATTCCGAGTCCGTCATGGACTTAGAAATTATAAAAAAGGAAAATGTTATCAAAATTGTAATTTCTTTAGATCATAAACTTGTACATCTGGAGAAATGTTGTTAGCATAAATTAAATATATAATTTTTCTTGCAGCTCCTGTAATATCCATAAACGGTGACGAAACGCATGATGTGAAAGACAGATTTTATAAAGCGGGTAGCGCTATAAAATTGTCTTGTATCATATCAGAACAATATGTGTCATCTATACCTATTAAGGCCCCGTTGACGACGCCTATACCTACAACCACACCCCTACCTACAACTACTACCACAGAATTAACAACAAAAATGAGTACAATATTCAATAGAATAGATTTAATGATGAATAAAAGCTGGAGTGTCGAAACTACGACGATTACTTCAACTGTTAGCGTAAGTACTACAACTAAGAAAGCACCAGAGAAGACCACGACTGAACTGACTACTATGAAACCTACAACACCTCCAGTAGAAAATAATATTTATGGAATTTTTTGGAAGAAACAAGGGAAGGATTTCACTGATAATGTCTCTTGGAGGAATATGAGGTGAGTAGCTCTTATTCCATATTGATATAGTTCAAAATATACAAACAAATAGAATCCGGATGAAATATTTGATCTTCTTTACAGTGCTACTATCAGTGTGAGTTCAGCATCACAGAATGACAGTGGGACGTATACATGTTACCTACAGAACCATTCTCAAGTCACAATCAATGTTCACGTTTTGATCGGTAAGTTGAATAATATCAATTTTTTTATTGTAAAAATACCAAACTTCTAAAAAAAAACGCTATTTATGTGTTAACAGTCTTTGACACTTTTATATTTCTGATGTTTTAAAACTAAATTATTTAATACTTTTGACAGATATCAAAACAACTTAGAACCAAGATGGCGTCAAGTCATATTATTTATTTGTCTTAGGCATTGTAAATCACCAAGTTTATTGTCTTCAGACAAATATGTTGCAAATAGTTCCATAGTGTAAGATGACAAGACATATTGTAAACTTTTGAGAAACTTTAACAATTTCAATCTGTTTATCAGGGGAGAACCAAGCCGCTGTACAACACAACACAGGGAACAAAGGAACACTTTTCTGGCAACCCCGAGTTTTGGCCTTTGTTTCCTGCACAACTCTTCTATTATTTTATCCGTGATCATGTAATACTTTCAAATTATGGTATTGAAAATGTTATGCAAGAAGAAAAAGTTTTGTTGTTGCTACAATGAATGAATGTCGCGTGTGATCTGGGAACTAAGTGCCAGTTATTTTTTGTTTTAATGCGATTGAAACATTACAGCGATTAGCTCTCTAATAGGTTGGTAAATTTGGAGTAACCAATCAGGGCGCCAAACGTCAAAAATGTGTCGATCGCTTTGACGTAAAAAAAACTTGCTCTAAGTCCTCAGAAGTATTAAGTGCGAAATACGGTGAGAACAAACTTTTGTTGAAATTGTTATATAATTGATCATTCTATCAAAGTAATAATCCGAATGTAAACAAATTACAATCTAGACAGATTTCGCTAGGAGTAGAACCAGATTTGTGTATTTAGATGATTCAAGAATTCATTACGATTTAAAGTGATAGGTACTTATATCCACTGAATATCAGATACTTACGTGGTGTATATTCTCATGTTTAATAAACTTTTGCAAAAAACCAAAGAATGTGAAGTAATGTAAAAATATTTTTATTGTGTCATAAAAAAACCTTTATATTCATGACACAATCGACCATGACTTAGAATAACTAAAGTTAATATACCATGCATATAAATTAGCCTAGCGAAAAAAAAACTTCTAAATCTGTTGTAATATAAATTCGAATAGGAGAAAGATTTGTCGAGAAGTAACATTTTTTAAGACATTAAACGTGGCTTTGTAAAAATTCCGATGATTTACAAGTGACATCGCGTAATTCACGACGGTGCATAAAATGATCGTAAAATTTTTTAGTACTTTTTTTAGTATGCTATGAGTGATATCACGGAGTACTGGCCGTGAAAATGTAATTTTAAAATTGTGTAAATATAATAATTTTACCGTTGACGTAAATATTATTTTACAAATTTTGTTGACTTTATTTTCAATTATTTGTTTTGTTTGTTAACACAAAGTGTAATTTAGTTTTAAGAAAAAATAATTACTTAAAGCAAGAATAATACGATGTAGATTGTACATAACGAATCTCATTGCGGCAAACAAAATTTCACAATACAAGATGAAGATCTGTGTAATTTGTAGAATAAAAATATTATATTTAACGTGTATTTTAATACAAGATGTACAGTTAATGCTATTGGATTCTTATAATAAGGAATAGATACTTTTCTTGTTTGTAATATAAATATAGTGATAAAAGTGAGGCGAAGCCAAATAGCGACGTATCTATAAGATATTTTATATGTTGTTGCACATTTTTGTTAATAATACACAAATCTCTCATCTGTAAACAAAAGAAAGACTATGTTAAATGACTGTAAACTATAAAATAAACTTAACATTATACTAAAATATTTGAGGCATTTTAATTTGAGACTCAACCTATGTTTTGTATGACAACAAGAACAAATATTAACAACAGTCGCATTACAAACAAAAATAAGTAGGTACTACACTGACGAGAGCGGACCAAATGATGAATGATGATGAAATGAAGCAAAATGCTTTTTTTCACTTTAATATATTTTAAGCAATGAGATACAGGAATTGAAATATACGTGTAGATTATTAAACCCACTGCCATTCTTTCTGCCATGCCTACGAAGTTTGTATTTCACAACTTTCGACAAAATAAATCAATACAACCGTAATTCATGCCTTATCTAGCTGCCTATTTATCTTGACTTTCGATCTAACATTGGCATTTCTATTCAGAGAAAAACTGTTCTCAGAACAAAAAAGTTGCGACCTAAACCCTTGGACACATCGTTTTATCAGCAAAAACACCCAGTTCGCATGAACCCTTTGAAAAGACGCACCTCATGAAATGCAATATACTGAGATTCATGTTGTACACAAAGGTACGCAGAGGACGGTATTAGCTTTACCTTTCAGTTAGAAAATGAGAAAAATGATCGACCATGCAGAAAATCAATTATTTAGCTGACTACCAAGTGTAAAAGACGTCAACCTTTGATGTTTCTATTAACAATACCTGGGATGCTATTGTCCCTTTTCTATTGCTATCGTATAGTAATTCGTTTAAAATGTCTACGCTTACCCGAATTTAACCCGTTATTCGTCTTGGAGACAGGGAACCGATCCGATTTACATAATTATTATCTACTAACTCAGCATTTAAGATTTCAAGTAATTATTGTGGCAATACTAAAAAATAAACCGACATTACGCTCTCAATTTAACGCAATAAAATTCAAATTGGTATTAACTTACCCGCGCCAGTAGAAGGCCATTAAAACATTATTAACAAAAAGATTATTTTTACAACTGAAATAAGCCCTTATTATGGAGTCATTGTCTTTCCTAAAACATCAAAGGGACCCTTGTTTCAATCCACTTTTACGATACCCGGAAAGATATGGACCCGCACATAATTTTAACATACACCTACGAACAAATTTATTTTTAAATCAGAGTTGAGAGACTCATGACGAAATCATATTTTCTGTGAAATATTATCTGCCATTGTTCTAATCGCGAAAAAGATTGAAAAAAGACACTGAGTTTAGGCTCTTCGTACCCAAAACAATGCCTTCAGCTTTTGGCTGGAAGTCAAAGTAATTTTTTATTCAGTAATTAGGTCGTTACAGACACTCTTAGAAGCCCTTTTTTAATCTACCCGCATTTCAACTGTGACGACCTTCGTAAAGAATTTTCGAATGAAACTGAGGGGTGAGTTATTTTTTCATTTTATTTTAAGAAACTTTATTTAAATAATTCGAACAAACATACAAATGTTTGTTCGAATAAGTATATTATCACACTAATATTATGAATATGAAAGTTTCTTTGTTTGTATGTTTGTCCGTCAATCACTTTTAAACTATTGAACTGATTTAGATAAATTTATTAATTGGGATAAAACAGGAATCATATTATACGCGGACGAATTCGCGGGCAACAGCTAATGCTTTATATTCGGTAAATACGTTACACTTCAAGTTGTTTTGAAAATTGAATTACTATAATACTTGTATACATGTTTCCAAAATTGAATCATGATCTTATTTTGAGGCTCTTCATTAACAGACTTAAAAGTGGACATCAACAGGATTAAGAGTTAAATAAACTCATTATTTTTCCTTTAAACTGTCAAACACCAAGCGGTCACCGGTGACCGCGACCTATTGTTCTTTAATTGTGTCTATAAAACCGGTACTCGACGAGTTAACATGGCTTAACGTATAAGAGTGTCCTTAGAACCTAAGTATAACATTTTTTTTTGGCATAAGCCGGTAAACGGGCAGGCGGATCACCTGATGGTAAGCAATCGGCGTCGCCCATGGACACCTGGAACACCAGAGGTGTTACAAGTGCGTTACCGGCCTTTTGGGAATTAAGAGTTTGAAGATCGTTGGGAATTCAGGAATTGGGGAGATTGGGGAAAGGGAGGGTAACTGGGCCTCCGGTACATGATATAAGACTGGAAGAAAATGCCGGCGGCATTAAGTCCACTTTGATAAGATGACACTCTGTGCATGAAACGTACATATTATATACAGAGGCTTGAGTATGAGTTTGTTTTACGTTAAAAATAATCGAAATGTGATCGGGTTCGGCGTTTTGATTGGTTGGTTCATCGGAGATGGCCAATCAGAACCGAACGCGGTCTCATTTCCATTTCTTTATACGTAAAGTTAGTACTAGGCCTCTGTATACAATAATAATAATTAATTTACATGTAAGGTATTGTGGTGAAACGGAATACAGAGAATAGCTTTAATCTGATTAACCGAGATCCTCTAACAACATTATCAAGTAAGTCACATGAAATATTTATACGTACTTGGTTTCAGTATTATGATATTAATCTCTGAATTTATGACTAAATTCTAATTATATGTTCAAAGATTCAAACCAAACCACATTGGTAAGACATAATGCTCAGTCTTCATATAAATTTAGTTATTTTGAAAGCGGGACTTGTACAAAAGAAAAAGTAACATAACTCAAATATGCCAGTTGTTATTTTTCATGTAAATATAATTTTCATTACAAACTCATTTGTGAAATTTATATCTTTCTTTGTAACCAATTTCTACATCATTTAGAAGCAATATATTGTGGTTGTTGTGAGGACTAATACCGTTTGACATTAAGGATCAAGGAAGAGAACATATCGCCGAATGACGGCGCTCGATTCACTTAGCGAAATGCTAGTGGCTTGTAATTAATTCTATAGAAATTATTTGCGGATTGATGTAATTTTGCTATGATTTGTATTAAACTACTTAGTACAATGGTGTAGAACAAATTGTTTTGTAATGCGGTTTTTTTATCAGACTGATCTTCATCTTTTTCATGGCTTATGTAAGGTAGTTATGTTATTAGATTTTTAACATATTATCCTTTCACCAATTGTCACACTTTATTCCCATGTCAAAGTCATACTAAAAAATTATCAGTTTTGTATAATATTTCTTAGTGATTCCATCAGTCTCTACACAAACATTAAAAATAAGCACTCACTAATAAACACATCGAAAAAAAATTAAACATCAACAAAACAGGTATCCCGCATTACGAAAAACATCAGTAAGAAAGTATAACACGAAAAACGAACTCCAAAAAGGTACACAAGTACTTATCTGAATTCTAAATTGTTCTTGAATATCGTAAATATTGTGACGAGGTGACATTCAGCCCTGGGGAAAATCTTTCGAATGCGACCAAAGCAGGTAGGCATACAACTTCACCCAAAATATTTCTTTGAAAAGGTCTTCACTTCCATCAGTTTGATATCGGAAACCTTTTTATGTTGGCTTTTACTCACTGAAGGTAGAATCGTATTTTGTTGCTTAGTTTGAAGAAAATACTGGGCTTTTAAAGCAAAATTATGGTTCGTTTTTGAGGTTTCTTTTTTATGGGACAAGCCGGTTACCGAGCAGACGGATCATCTGATGGCAAGCAATTTTATTGGTATCGCGCATGGATACCTGGAATACAAGAAGCATTACAAGTGCGTTACCTG